TGCTTGGGACTTTAAAAACTTGGGGAGAGGAGGGGAGTGCGCCACGGACCAGGGCGGAGGACTGTGGGTGCGCAGGTAGGAGGGGGCGGGGACCCACGGGGATCACGCCAGGGGCAGAGCCCTGCGCCTGCTCGGCGCCAGCAGGGATGGAATCAGCGAGACCGCGTTACACTCACACATCCGTGAGATGAAAGTGCTCTCGTGGGGCTGGTGGGCAGCCAGCTTTCCAGGCGCTCCCCACCCCACATCACAGTGCTTCGGTTTACTCCACATGGGCCCCTCCCTCCTCCTCCCCCTCACCTCCTTCGGTCTCCCCAGACTGGGGCTTGGGGTGTTGAGGGTTAGGTGGGAGGCCCAGGACCTGAGGACCCACCAGAGGCCTGAGGGATGCACAGCTGCTTAGTCCCCCAGTGCAGGAGCTGAGGGAAGAGGGGGCCCCCCCGACAGTGGAACCCAGAGCGGGCACTGGGAGGTGTGCTGGAATGCCCAGGCAGGGGAGCTCCGGGCAGCACCGGGGCCTGGCCCCTTCCGGGAGGCCCCCACCCCAAGGGGCTCAGCTCAGCCGGCAGAGTGCTGCCCTGGGGTCCTGCAGGCCCTGGGGTCTGCCCCTCCCTGCACCCCAGGGCACAGCATCCCTCCCCCTTGGCCTACCAGGGAGAAAGATGATTCTATCTGCAAAGCCACCCACCGCCCAGGCGGGCCCCTGTCCCGGGAAGCTCCTGTGGGTCCCCACCCACCGCTAGCGCAGCCTGCCTCCTGCCGGCCCCCAGCCTCGCGACCCCCCTCTCCCTCTGCCGCACGGCGGGTGCCCGTCAGCCCGTCTGTTTCCTGCCGTGAACTTCACCCCTTCAGGTTTTCCCGTGTCTCCTTTGCCACCCGGTCTCAGGACAGCTGCTCCCTGCGCTGTCCGCAGCGGGGTCCGCGGAGACCCGCCGGCCTGCGCCTTTAGCCCAGCTCTCCAGCCCTGACCTGGTGACCCCTGGTGACCATCACTGTGGCTCCTGGTGCCCTCAGGCCTGAGCGTCCCAGGCCGAACTGCAGGAAGTGGGCTGGCCCGCGGTCCCCACTTAACGTGCCCCCGGGCGGCTTCCCAGGCCCCCCCAACCCGGGCCACGCCCGCCCCG